AAAAAAAAAAAAAAAAAAACACTGAATAGTATCAGCAAAATAAGCACAATGCAGCAAGTCATGATACTGTAACAGATGTCCCTCTACTGCAAATTGTAGAGAAGTTGAAAAAAAGAAAACAAAGTATCCTAGGAATCTTAAAATTTGAAGCAACCTAAGACCAAACAAGCTAAACATAAACAAATTTAAAGCAAACCTAAGACCAAACAAGCTAAGAACAAAACCTGAAAAGAAGCAACACTAAAACAAAGCCTACATATTATTAATAGAAGCAACGAGAAAGACCACATAACAAAACATCAGTTGTGGGTCAACAAAGTCAGAGCAATTTGGTGATGGTGCAGGAGACTCGTCTTCGGGTCGGGTTCCACCCGCAAGATTCAGATCCATCACATCAACCATCACTCGTTGCCCGTTTTTGCAGTGATTGGGGTCGGCGCTGATGAAATAAACCGTGCCAGGCTGCTTCAGATCGATTACCGTGTTACCGTTCTTGAACACAGCCGCCGCGTGGCTCGAGTTGCAGTGGTAGTAACCCCACTTGTCCACGGCTACAACCGTGTCGTTTTTGTACCGAAAACCTATTTTTCGCAACATAAAATCAAGAAGAAAAAAAATCATATCTTTGCTGTTCGTAAAAAAATTAGATGCACTGCAAGTAGACGTGGCCATTTCCTGGTTTTGGGTTGGTTCCTGGCCGAGGGTTGGAGGGTCCTCAACCGGCAGTTCCAGCCCGGCCCAGTTCGAAAAACTACAAATATGTGGCTCAGAACCGGCCTGGTCAAACCACGGGCTCGGCTCAAGGGCCGTTGACGGTTGACTACGGGCCGATTCTGGGCCCGCTCGTGGCCATGTCTAATAATTGCAAGTGAATTTGCGTAGGTTTCACTAACTCACGAAGAGAATCTCCGACTCGGAATCTCAAGGCGGCCGCCCACCGAACGTAGATTTCGGCCTCGTTGGCGGCCGGTTGCCGCCAGCCGTCCTCCCCTCCGACCGCAAACTCCTCCGCTACGGAGCTCGCTATGAAAAATGCGAACAAAGTGAAAGCAGAAAAGAAGAAGCTCACCACGAATTTAGCCATTTTTTCGGGTTTTAATTTTTATCAAATTTGTTGCAGTTAATAGTGTCAGTAACAAAAGGGGGTTAGGACAATTCAGTGCATGCGGGATGTTAAAAATTGTGGTTATTTTACAAAATTTGTGGTAACTTGCAATAGACGTGGTGAAAAAGAGCATGGCGGTTATTGGTAGTTAATATGGGTCCTGGTAAAAATAATCCAGCCTTTAACTTGGTCAAAGCCGATCGGGAAATTTTTATCTCTACCATGATTTATAAAAAATTGCATATATACTGCTAATGAAAAAAAAAATTGCAATACTACCTAAAACTTAAAAAATAATAGGGTTATGCATACAGATACGTTACCCAAAAAAAAAAAAAAAAATTCTCTGCTTCTGTCATCTCCCATGGCTTTTTTTAACGGTGTCGGGCAGAGAAGCGGTTGAAGAGGCGGCGATGCCGTGGCCTACGACCACTCCCTCAAGATCAAGGCCGAGGTCCGACAAATTCAACGGGCTTGCCGCCAATCAGAGACGTGTCTGTTTGTCCTATTTTTGTTGCATTTTTTAGCATATTTTATCTTTCTTTTTTTCCCATTTTAGTCCTTTTCGATGGGTTTTATTCATTTTTATATTTTATTGTGCTTCTTGTTCTATTTTGGTTTTATTTGTGTTTTCCGTATATTTCCGGTTTTTTTTTTCGTTTTTGGTGTGCAGGTTGAAAGCCTCGGGAGGATTGGATTTTAAGCGAGATTGACTTGCAATCGTAATTATATAGAGCTTTCTGTTGGCATCGCACGGGAGAAAACGGAAATGAATTCTGATACCAAACGAACCTATTCGAGCCCGAGACGTGAAATTGTGCACGGAAGCTCGCACCAGTTCCCAGCCATCGCGCCGCGCTAAGTCTCACGCCGTGGCAGATCAATCCTTTCACGCCGCGCTGGGTCCACGTAGCCGACAGAGACCACGCTTTCAACCCACCACGTCGTGAGAGTTTCTGCGCCGCGACGCCTGATGACTCCATGCAATGCAGACCTCGCGTTT